TTTTCATTTTCTTAATTTACTAACCTTTTTGAAAATTATATTCCATTAGTGTAGATACCTTGTTCTGTGTGTGCACAAGTAACAAAGTTTGTGATGAAGTTTTAAGTTTTAACTGTTTATCTGATACTAGTACAAAGAGTGAAAAGCAGCCTACATTCAAAAAGAGAAACCAACCCACCACCCAAACAAAACCACTGGAATGAAAAGGTCTGGAAATATTTGTGTGTATTTTCAGGGAAAACCTCAACGACCAGAATTTCTGAGCACACTGTGATGGATTATTGTAATTATTAGAAATGATAATGTTTTAATGTGACTTTCTTCCCACCTGTCAGTTGTAATCAAGGCTGCCCAGAATTCGGAAACAATCTCATTTTACTAGGTGGCTAGCCTTGTGCAGCCTGTAGAATGCTTAGAATATTAATGTGTGGAAGAGATTGAATGTCCTCTATAGTTTTCCTTTGACAGTGTTCTGTTTTAATCAAAATGCATGCAAAATAAAACCAAGATAATATATAATAAATTAATGCCAATGGCTGTTTAAGAGGAAAGATTTCGTATAGAGGATATTGCATTCGAACCATAGAACTTAGCATTTCTTTCTCCCTGCTCCATACATGACACTGTATATTAATTTCTGCAGAACTGAATTTCTTTTGTTGGTGCCCCTTGTTCTGAAACACTTTGAATTATCTAAACAAAGACCATTCTGGCATTTTCCTTAGGGTTGCCCTGTGTATAGCAGGCTGCCGAGATAGAAGTTACAGAGCAAAACAATGTATGTAAAGACACATGTGTTGGATTTTGATAGTTACTTGGTGATCACTGCTTTCTTGCAATTCCTCGTGCTCTTGCCAATTTTAATCTTTCTGTATTTCGCATGTCATTTATATGTTACCTTCAAATTTTCTTTGTCTTCTTCTAGCTCTTACTTCAGTTGCTATGGATGTGTTTGGGGGATTTATTTAGCCCCCTGAAATTGTGGCAACCTTTTCTCAAAAGTTCCTTTACCCAGGGGATTAACTATACCCTACCTGCTGCATAGCCAAATATGTATGATCTGTCAATTTTACATTTCATTCAGTGATCATGTTGCCATGGTATAGAACAGAATGACTCAATCTTTAACATCTCATGTGTCCCTTTACAACTTTGGGTCATTCAAATCATCATCACATGTCAAATTCCAGGATAGGCACACACTAGGCTGGGCTTTGCATGCAGCTGAGGCCCTGGGCTGCTCAGTACCATCGAGTTCTGTGAAACTGGTGAATATACTGGACCTTTCTTTTTCTTTTATTTCTGGTACACAAAGGAAGTATGGCCAATTCAAATGGGCGCTGAGCACACAACTGTTTCTCTGCCCTAAAAGCAGAACACATACTTTCCACCCAGGCCTGCTCATTTATTCTCTGGGACAATTAAGAGCATGGTGGACTTCCCTTTAGTTTGTAGTCATAGTTTTCGACAGATAGTTAATTTTTAGTATTTTAAAATCAGGTAAATGTTGATGTTTATAAACACCAAGACTATTAATTCTGGCAAGAGTGTTTGAATATCTATAAATCAGACACAATGGAAGAACTGAAATTCAGATTTCCTCACACTTGCCTGCCAAGTGGCCTCAATCAGAAGTAATTTTCTCCATGAGGGCACATGGAGCTTGCTTGTGAGCCTTTTCTGAGGAGATATTATTTGTGTCAAATTGCGTGTGGTGATTTTCCTGAAGTGGACTCCGTGCCCACTAATCCATACCCAGGAGGTCTCTCTATTCCTTCCTTCGTTGATGCTATTAATTACACTTGGGTTTCAAGGGTCTCTTATTTACCCTTTTAAAATGTTAGTTTATGGCCACCAATTATCTACGCTGTTCCCTGTTAAAAAAAATAGTGCGAAGAGGAGAGTGAGATCCCATCTTAAAACATAAATACTATGCATTTTAAGAGAAACCACTTTCTCAGCATCTGGCTGGATGGTTCAAGAAGTGGTCAGTGATTTCACATTTGCAAGTACAGTACATTATATAAAGCTGCATTTACTTTGGGAGGAATGCAAATGGACTATTGAATCATCTCCCTGCATCTCATTCTAAATATTGGCACTGAGTTCTCACACCTTTTGAACAAATGAGTCCAAAAACCTTTACCATATTTAGGTTTTGAACATACATACTCCTTTTTAGTTACATGCTTGGCCTCACAAAGGTACCTAAAAACATATTTTTAACTCTCAGATATGCAATAGAATTATCAATTATAAGTTTTTCATAAACCTAGAAATGAAAGTGAAATGTACATTTCAAATCTATACATCTATTCAAGATCAACAGGACATTAATGAGTTTGAGGTTTACTAAGTAGAAATCAGTGTTGCAGCGTTTTGTTTTCTTCCATATGATCATAGGAGCAAGATTTTAATACAACTCTCAAATTTTAATTTAATATGTTATTGGAGCCAATTTTCTATTCTGTGTTTTAATTATTCAGTAACATTATCTTTAATAAAAGATCTGGCAAAATTTTTATCACATCTGTTTCAATTTTTAAAAGGAAAGTATATAATGTTAATTTTATTTTTATAATATGCATGCATGTTCTCTAGGTATGAAGGATTTTATGCTTTCCATATTTTATACATGAACTATTCAAATATTTATTATATTATTGGAAGTTATTTCTGTAAGCAAAATTCAGAGTTTATATTTTCAAAGAAAAATATGACCCCCAAAGGACTATATAATGTCATTTCTGTTATAACTGATATTAAATCAGTTACTTTACAAATTGATCCAGTATGGATTATATAAAAAATGAAGACGAGCAGTCAGATATTTTATTTTTGGTGTCCACATAAAGATCTCCTGATTTTTATGGAAGAGAGAACATATACTTTGGTTGACTTCTAGCAGTCGGAAGAGAAAGACACCTGGTTGTAAAGCTAACTTATTGAACGCCTAGGAAAATAACTGGAGATTGTGGACTAACCACTCACTTCCTAACACCTTCACGTTACAAGTTACTTGTATTTTAGAGTCTTGTTTCTGAAAGAGAATGTTTATAACTACCGTACACTGGTTCGCATGGAAATGCATGATGTTAAAGAGAGGGTGTTCAAAATGCCACACTTTGCAAATGAACAACTTCACTTAGTGGTCTATGACATTGCTCTGTTAGCTGAGTGGCTTTCCTGACTATAAAACCATAAGGACACTGTCTGCACAATAGGCCGTGTAAGAAAGCACTCTGCAACTGCTACATCAAACACAAATGAGACCTTTTTTAACGTATTTCCTTTTTATCAAACATTACATTAAATACTTTAGAAAAATAAAAATAAGGAAATGTCATCCACTAGCGTCTTCACTACATAAGTGATTGGGAAATGTACTAATAAACGTAACAAACCCATCTGAGGGGAGAGATATCTTGCTATTATTTTATATGTGGCCTGCAGGTCTTGTTATTTGACATAGCTGTTCTAAAATTATAAATGTTAGACTTGAAATTGTCAATAACAGATTAAAACTAATATGAAATCTATGAATTTATTTAGTTTTGACTCTTCAATTTTAAGTGCGACAATTGCCAGGATATTAAAAATAAACATTTCTTGTTGAGTTATATAACGGAAAAATTTTGCAGAGGACAAACAATCCCTAAAGGAAAAGTGTTGCTTGGGTGTGCCTTAATTTAAATGCATGAAATTAATTCTGTCCATGCAAATGTATCTTGTCAATTCAGTCCTGAGGAAACTCACTTGGGTGACAGTCCCACACATACCACTGGATGTAGGCATGTTGTACTACACAGATATAAAAACAATAGTATTGGAGCATTTAAAATGATAAGATTTCTCTTTGACCCTAAATTTAATTTTTCTGCTACATTTGGAGAGAGAGAGAGAGAGAGAGAGAGAGAGAGAGAGAGAGAGAGAGAAGGAGAGAGAGACACAGAAGCGAAAACTTAATTCTGCAAGTATTTATCCTGTCAAGACCAGTGACAGAGGGACAATTAGTACAGATTACCATAATTGTGCTCTGTGGATGAAAATGCTATATTACTTCTTTTGGAGTAAATGCAGTCTTCTACTTAGTAAAGCGAGTCGGAAACGTTATTTCTTTAACAGCATGGTGTTCCCATGTCATCCACTTCAGAGCTTCTGCAGAACTGCAGCCCTCCCTTCACTTTCAGTAAAATAGGTCCATTAATGTAGTGCACCTCGCTCCCATTCTTTCCGAGGGAGTTGTATTTTTATTACTGAAAAAGTATCACATAAATACAAATTACATTTTTTCATTAGGAAACTACTTTTCATTTGAGAAAAAATTCAATTAATTGTGAATAGGGTTATGCTTTCACCAGGGAGAGAAATATGTAATTTTTCTTTAAGCCTCAAACACATGTAATGAAATCTTTTCTTGGAATCCACTCTTAAGATGGATTTTTAAAAGTATAGACATTATTAAAATCTCAGTTCAATTAAAATGCATTCAGTTACTGTAAATCTTTATTAAAATCGCAGGTAAAATTGTCCAAATGTGTAAGGGAGAGCCGTGCTTCTTTACGATGCAGTGAATTCTAACAAATGAACAGACTGTGCATGGGTTTGAGCTTCAAGACAGAATACCCTGAAGGCTTTGGTCCAGGGGTTGGGGAGGGGGGTGGAGACGGTAGTTACATTCTGTCATCACAGGCACCAGCTTTCTTTGCCTTCTTAACGAAGGCAGTGTTTCTTCTTCTTTTTTTTAATCCTACTTTTACAATTTTACTTATTTTGTAAATTTCCATACAAGTACGTATTGTATATTGAACATATTCACTTCCCATAACCCCCTACCTACCGTTTCTTAGGTGGCATTAGTGTGTTTGAGTCCCCTTGGGATGGCATACTGTAATTCTCTTCCCTCACCTCTGTAATCGAAATCACCCCATGTAAAAGGTTTTTTATTTCGCTCACTTCCTTGGATGTTTTTGGTACAGTGTCCCTGATTCTTTTTCAAGGGCCGCTGGAAGATGCCATTGAGGATGAAGACGAAGAGTATCCATCAGAGGAGGCGGAAGGCATCGCCAAAGGGGACTTTCCACTGGAGGAAAGTTTCCCGCCGGACTTTGGGCCCGAAAATCTGAGCTGTGAAGAAGTGGAGTTCTTTTGTAACAAAGGTAATCCTGGATGTAGGATGGGAGTCCACGTAGGTGGTTTTGGCAAGGGTTTTTTTTGTTATTTAAATGAACTTTAGGATGGAGTAAAAGTACTGATATAAGTAATGATCTGTAATATGGGAAGATTAGGATACAAAAAGCTCTTTTGTCGTTCAAACAAATTATTTCATTTTGATAATAATCTGTTTTTATATTCAAATATTCTATTACTGATTGGCAAATTTCCTGAGTTCATGTTGTTTCCCTGACTAGCTATAACATATTTGATGCTTACCAAATTTCTTCTTCTTTCTTTCAACAAGTAATTACTGAACTCCAATAGTTTGCATGGCATTAATACTGAATATAAGCACTGAGTGGTACAGATAACACCCCAGCCTAAGGTTTGGCTCAGTCTCTCTGAAAAGTGAGTACTGTGGGTGTTACCTTTCAACACTGCTACTCCCTGTTAGGTTATTGCTCAGTAAATAAGTGCATGATCTTTCCATCTGTGGATCCTCTTTGGACACACACACACACACACACACACACACACACACACACACACTATAATCTGAAAGGTACCTGAGACAAATCTCAGTTCATTTCTAACCTGAACTTTTTTCCTATTTTATTTCCTCTTTTTTCTAAAAGTAATTTTATGGTTTCAAATGATGCTTTTTATTATTTATTTTTACTAGTTTGTTAATCTCTCCTGGGATAGGACTTCTTTTCCTCTTATATTGGCACACAATGTCATAAGTGTTGGGATCACTTCCTAGGTTTATAACAGCTGCTTCTGCTAATTTATCATGAACATATCCCAGATGGCAAACTGGCTGAGATGCTTTGAGTCTGTGCGTCTGTCTCCACCTGTCGGTATTTGTGTGTGGCATGGTGTTTGTGCAAGTACGCCATTATCTTAAAGACCTGTATATTGTTTTAGACAGTTGAAAGAGGGGAAGTGGGCTTCTAAGTGTTGTATTGACTGTCTCAACAGTCTAAAATCAAGTGTGCTGATACAGTAGCTTAAAAATGGCCTTGCACCTGTCTTGATGGTCACATGTATTTGTAGATATTATTAAAAGTTCCAATATCACATTCCCCTACTGCTGGTGTCTTACAAACTAAGGAAGCTAACTCATTCCTGTCCTCTGTTCAGCAGAGCTACAACCTCACTGGGATCTCCTAGAGAACCAACAGTTACCTTGAGACATGGTGCTTGTCTCCAGGACAAATGAAATTGACTGAAAATAAGAATATAAAGTATAAAACAGTCTTATCCATAGGCTCAGATTTCAGGACAATTTAATGTTTCCTTTAGATGTTCTGGATTCTGAGCCTGTCCCTTGAGGATCTGTAGTCTAGGCAATGCATGTAAGCACCTACTGAGGTGTTGAGCTGTATTAGTTTTTAAATTATGTATGCCACCACTTTATTTTCCATTGTTTCTAAAACGTGTATATTTCTATGTTTATTATAAAGTATCTATTTTATGTATAGTATCATTTAAAAAAAGAGAGAGAGAAAAGGTAAGGGATGGAATGCACTGGCCTCTTCCCCTCTTTGGGTTCTTATGGTTAAAAAGTTAAGACACAAATTTAGATCTTTAGTAATGTAACTAATGTAATTAAAATAAATAAAATTAATAATTGCATTAATTAAGCGATGGTAAATATTATTACATATCGTTTAAATTTGGGGATGATCATTACTAAAGGTTTATGTTTAGTAAAAGAGCTTGGTAAAGGTAAAGCTTTAGGTAATTTGTTGGAGGTAGATAGACTTAAAGCAAATAGTTTTTTGAAGATAGTCTTGAGACAATAATATTCATCACACTAACAAGAATTTGGACTCAATGTAATAATAGGCATTTGGGAAATGAGAAGAACATTGAATTACAATTATTATGAATGTTATTTAATAGATATGACTATTTGATAAACACTTGGAAATTCCTATGTTATTTTAAATGTATAACAAACATTTAATAGCACAGACATTGTATTAAATAGTATATAATATATGTATTATAAAACAATTTTTTTGTTTGAAACAAAAAAGTCATCCATGGAAATAAGAATGGTTATTTTCATGTACTACCTTCACTATAAATGCTAATATTACTATTTCATTTTACTGTGGCCCTATGAAATAGGAGAGAATCACATTATTTTACTCTCACAGACTATGAATCCTGGGAATTGCCCTTGAAGTTAAACTGGTATGAAAGGAAGACAACACTGACAGAGAGTGTCCTGTGGTTGTACGAGGACCGTAGTGTCTCTCTCTCTCTCTCTCTCTCTCTCTCTCTCTCTCTCTCTCTAACTTGTGTTGTTTAAATACAATTGAAGGAGAAAACATTCTCACCTGAAAAGGGGAATGCAGTCTCTGCATAGATAATCACGTCTGTCTCAGTGACACACGCTTTCACTTCCTTTGTAATAGAAAAGGGAAGACAGGTTGGCCATTAAAACAGGAGAATAATTTAAAGGCTTAAGGAAACGAGTATTGTGACTGAAAAAGTGGGTATGAAATGTTCTTCCTAAAAAGAATATTTTCACTGAAAACCTGGATTCTGTACTCACTCTTGACCATCTATGACAACTCTAAAACTGTCATTCAATAACAGAAAGTGAGTTAGACTGTTTAGAGTTTCTTCTTCTAAAGATATTTCTATGATCAAAATCTAGCAATGATCTAGTTATTTTAATGACTTCCACAGATAAAAATTTTAGACCTTGGGTGTATGTTCTTAATAAGCAATTGTTAGCTAAAATCTCATAGCACAATCCATAAGTAGAGTATCTTAATTCTTCAAGCAAGAAATATTTACGCAAGTTCAAGGAGAATAAGAAACATACTTACAAAGTGACCATATCCTCACTGATATTTTAGTATTGGATTTTGTATAAGTCATGATATGCTATAGCTTTTTTAAGAATAAGAGACAAAAAACTTTATTCTCTAAATATCTGTGAAAACACTGCTTATTATAGGTCAAAGTTTCTACTTTTGTAGTAGTCCCTATCATGTAGGATATTTTCAATGGTTAGAATAATAATTTTACTTTCTATAGTATATTTTTCTTGACTTCACTAATGTCATCTATTCTCTAGCTAAAGAGCAAGAGTTTGCGCACATATGGATGAAGTCATTAATATTAAAGCTGTGGTTCCCTCTAAACCATGTGATCAAACATTGTATAGCTCAGTCTAGTAAAATTAAAATCACAAAAAGTGTAATTTGTATTTTATGTTTCTTTAGTATGTTAACTTCTCAATGACATGGTTGTATCTCAGATATATCCCTGTTCGAGTTGCAGGCCTAAGATTTACAAGTTCCATAGAAGATCACCGAGCCAGCTCCTGGTTTAGATTAGCTGTGTGCTTCTCACTTTTCACACACAAAAAAGAGACTTGTTTTCAATAAGAGGCTTCTTCAGACTGGTTTGGGCCTTGGGTATTTTAAAACGTTGGCCAAAGTGTAAGGTGAGGGCACAAGTCCTAACATTTTCTTTTGTTCTAAACTGCTTGGCTTCTTGCCTTCACAGCATCTGCAACAGGAAGGGAACAAGCAAGAATTATTTCCTTGAATTTGCAGATGACGGAGACATCCACACTGGGCCCATAAGTGCTACATATTTCCTGTGATATTGAATTATTTGCTTCAGTTATTCCATCTTCCTTTCTCTGTTTAATGTAGAAAACATGGACATATATTCATGCATGTGTAAAACTAAGCCTAGTTTTAATAATTAGTCCAAGTGGGATTCCAAACTCAAATATTTAAGTTTGTTAAAGAATGAAGTCAAGTAAATATTTTTGGGATACATTTCAGGAGAATGTCACAGGATGTGTGAACAGGAAGGAAAGGGTCAGATGGGTGTCTCTGTAATGTGGTAAGCTGCTGAACTATGGAAAAAAATCTCAAAAAACTATATGTCAACAGTAACCTGAGTTGTTAATAACAATGATCTGGTTACTATGGGTCTTTAGAAATTGTTCTGTGATATTATGGTCACTAAAGAAGCTAAGAGGGAATATAATACCATCAACCTTGGCATTAGAAGACAGAAAACCCAAATTCTTTTCCTAGCATCTAGATATAAAGAATGGTCAGAGAGATTATTGGATAGTGTGCACACCTGAGAGACATTTGGGAAGATCACAGTTGACAAAAGGCTGCGAAATGGAAATCCATGGAATAAGGAAACATATTGTGTAATGATGGATATTCTCGTGTGTTTAAAGAGTTTATATAAGTAATACTTAGAAAGGGAACAAATATTTTAAGTACTCTTTTAAATTGAGCATTGTAAGGTACATTAAGAAAGTAGAATAGAACCCAGGTTCCTCAATGTTGGAGTTAATGCTAGCTAGCCCTAGCAGTAGTTATTATGAAATTAAACACAAAAACAAACCGATACTGAATCAGGTTACCGGAAATTTCCAGTCCTGTTCCACAGACAAATTCAGTGGAGCTCAGCCCACACTGTAATATGCATCTATAATACCAAATGGCAGTCTCTATCCCAAGAAAAGAAGCAAGGGTTAATGAAAGAATCAAACTCAAACTGTGTGTGGTGGGCAATGTTGAGCACATGAGGAAAACCAGGATGGTTTAGAGTGGCGGAGTAACGTTATATCTATGTGTGAAGGCACGCTTTGGATTTTATAGAGAGCGGTGAGGAAGGCAGACTTTGAGTAGAGTGCAGAAGAAATGCTGTGGGCTTCCAGAACTTCCTCCCGTGTGTGTACCTGAGTGGCTAGTGTTGGACAGAGCCAACAGAGGATAGCAGAGAGGGGCAAGCAGGGGCCGGTGCAAGCAGGGGCCGGTACAAACATGCTTACAGGATTTGCTGCTCCAGGAGCCTGTGTTGGATCCCACCACTGTGGAAGTTGTAAGGAAGGGGATTGTGAAAGGGAGATGGGGGCTAGAGAAGACGCATAGTTAGGAGGCAGCTTGCATTTGCCGAGTGAAGGCCATCCGCAGAAAATGAAGTTGGAGGCAGGAACTGA